ATAAGCTTATAAACTTAATTATATATAAGTTATATAATTACTAATTTATATATAATAACTTAAAAAGGCGCTACTTTTTTAAGTTTATATATAAAAAATTTTAAAAAATAAATATTATAAAACTTTTTAGTACTTAGCTGCGTGTTTAAAAGAGAGCTTATATAAGTACTAAAGGATAAAAGAATTACACTATAGCTAGGCACTAAAGGTACCTAAGCCTAAAAGCTATATAATATAGCATAAAAAAAAGTAATTACACTAAAAAGGCTTTATATATAACTTTTATTACTATATAAGGCTCTACATAGAAGTAGACTAAATATAATGCTGCTATTAACACTAAACATACTAGTATTACTTACTCCTACACCTTAGCTAGCACTACACTAATTACTGTATAAACAATACATGCCACTCTACCTAACGCCTGCTCTACACCCTTAATTGTACACACTACTGCCTGTAGTAGTGTATGCACTACTAATACTACCTACACAATCTATACTATATTATAACCTGTATAAACTTTTACTTTAAAAGAAAACTGCTAAAGAAAAACTTTTAGTAAATAAAATTATATAGTTTTAAAAAGTATAAAAAAAAAATAATAACTACATAAGTTAACTATATAATATTTTTATAAATAAAATAAAAAATTTTATTAATTTATGTTAATAGCTAAATATCTAGAAAACTTAGTACACAGACATCTTTCTAAATATCTTAAAAGGTTAGGCAAATATGTACTATATGCATAATATAGGCCTTAGATATAACTAAAAGCATTTATATAACACCTTAAGTAGTTACTTTAACACTAATGTAAACTATAGCTAGTACTAAATAGACTAGATAATAATAACTTTTACATAATACTAATAAAAAAACTTTAATAAAAGTTTATATAAAGTTTTTAAAATAATAATTAATAAGCTTATACTTATATAAAAAGCACTAAAAATAAAATTTTAAGAAAATGTTTTACTGCACACTGCTATTATATAAGCCTATTAAGAATAACTAAAACTAGAACATGCTATATTTACTATTAAGCCCTTATATAAAGCCTTATTTAGTAACTTATAAGCATTACTTTAAGTTACTATAGACTAAAAAGTAAACTAATACCTTTAAAAACTACCTAATATATACTATATAGACTACTAATACAACTCTGCATAATAAGAGTCTATATAATAAAAAAAAAGCTTTTTTCTATATAGAAGAAAATAATATAAAAATTTTTTATTTAAGTTTAGGCTATAATCTAGAGATAACTGTACATAGATAAAAAAGTGCTTTATCTGCTATAAGAAAAAATGTTAGTTATTAAACTACTTTTATAATAACTATATATAAGTAAAGAACTAGTATGTTGCCTTATATAAAGATTTTTATAATAAAACTTTATTATATAAAGCTATTACTTTGTACATCTAAGACTTTAAAAGTTACTCTAAGAAAGAAAATAATTTACATAATATAAAAAAAATAAAATAAAAAAGTAAAAATGCTAAAAAAGCTATTAACTACTTTACCTTTACTACTTATTTATACTATGTAATAGAAAAGGACATCTATAGCATTAAACCTAAAAAATATGCTAAGCAGTTTATCCTTAATAACTAATACTATATAGTATACTAAGGTAAACTATAAAACATAGGCATAGTAAAGATCTCTACTATTAGTAAGTTCTAACTTAAGGCGTATATATAAAAGAACTTACATATAAAAATTAATTAGACACTTAGCTAAATAAATATTAGCTTTAAAAGCTAGACACTAAAAAAATTAATTAGTACTATATAAATCTAGAACTTAATTAGTCTAGTTATATACTATATTTTAAAAACTCTAACACTATTCCTGCTATTACTAGTAGATGCTAACTAACTTAGGGCATACTTTAATAACATTTTAAATGTTATTATATGTAACTAAAAATAAAACTACTATTTTTATTATATAAAAATAAAGACACTTTTTTTTTAATATTAGTAAGAAAAAATTTATATCTTTTTTTTACTAAATTAAAACTTTACTGCCTTTACTGCTAATTTAGACACCCCTGCATAAAAAAACTCTAGAAGATGCTAACTAGCGCTAGCTATAACATTAATGCTGTAGTGCTAGAAGAGATTAAAAAGTTCTACTACTTTTACTAATTATATAACTAGGCTTTATAAAAATTTAAGTTTATAATTAAAAATAACACTTACTTTAACTATAAAGTTATTATTAATATTATATAAATTAATAATAAAGATGTTCTACATGTTATTAATGTAGACATATTATTTTAAGCTACTATATTCCTAAAATTTATGTCTACACAAGATACCTAGAATGCACTATGTAAATGCTAGATTAACACTTATTAAAGACCTCTAGACTATATTATACATAACTTTAGTATAA